CATATAGTTCCACAACCCTCCACAACCCTCCACAACCCTCATACTGGCCTTGCATAAGCCCAATATTGCTGCTATCCACCTGGCAACTGGTTGAAATAACAACGAACCCCTAAACCCTAAACCTTAATTCCTAAAACCTAAACCCTAAATCACCAACTTTGAACTGCAGGCCCCGCAGCGGTCGGAAGATGTTCATATGGGCCCTGAGCGCAAGCGCAGCTTGTTTCTCCATGTAGAAACCCATGGGGCTCAAGTACCTATCTCAGAGGGTCCAAGTACCCAATAATTAGGTACATTATTTTTGGGTAATAGTAATTATAGTATAGGTATTGGGTAAGTATATGGTTATTTGGTACTTGGACCCTTAGTGTATAGAGTGTATCATTAAGGCCCAGACGGGCTCCTATACAGGTACTGTGTGCCCAAGTATGTACTACCCTAGGGCTCCAGTTACCTAAATAATGGGAACTGGGCTCTATATACCAGTAGCCTACTATTAAGGTAACTGGGAGCCTTAGGGCTACATAGGTGCATGAGCCCCCTGGGAAAGGGCATGCGTTCGATTAGGAAGTAAGGTTTAGAGTGCATGTTTGAATGTTTCAGTGTACGTCTAGCTGGAAATGACTGGCAGTGACAATTTCTTCTTGGCTCCCCGCAAGCTCGAGTTTCCAAATTCCACATGGTGCTTACCCAAAAAATGTGTTTGTGTGGGTGCGTGTGTGTGTGTGTTTGTGGTGGGGTGTGGGTCCACACATTCAGGATTATGATATATTGGGGGCTATATAGGGGTCCCCCCATTTAGGGAAGCTACCACATTCCTAGACCCTCCAACTACCCTCTATCTAGGCATATGTATTTACTATTGCGGGTGCATAAGGGTACTAGGAGGGTCCGGGTACTTAAATCCATGTATCACCCCAGTTTCCATTTGAGTTCCCATGTTCTTTTCCACTTGATTCTTTGTTATTCCGATATAGCCCCACCCAGAACCCACACCCTAAACCCGCTAAAACCGCAATGAAGGGTACTGCGATGGATACGAAAAATCCTGCATGACCCTCGGTACCATATACCTTGGGAATTATGGTACCGTTGTATATTAAGGTCATGCAGGATTTTTTAGTATCAACAGTAGTAGGGTCCTGGTTGGTTCATGTTTGTTGGCAGCTGCTTGAAGTGGCCAACTTGACTTTCAGGGAGCATGGGTTTAGGGTTAAGGGTTTAGGGTTTAAGGTTTAGGGTTTAGGCGAAACGATCCTTAGTAGCTACCAGGGGTCTCCCAGTATCCTTAGTTGGGCTTCCGCGGCCCTTTCTAGTGGAGATTTAGGCCAAAAGAAAGGGTAGTTGGAGGGTCTAGGTATATAGGTGAGAGTATAGCCTAAATCCTAAACCCTAACCGTAAACCCCAAACCAAGGACCAGTATCACTTAGCCCTCAGCATTGAGTCCTTAATTCATTCCTGGTATCGAAGCCCTACTTTATACTATCCTTTGGGATTTAGGGCTTAGGATTTAGGATTTAGGGCTTAGGGTTCGCAATTTTTTTCGGCTACCTTGACTGCACCATCGACACCCCAAGCCGGCATGTACGTCATGTGTTGTTCTAGCATCCTAACTGCCTTGAGTACCCAAACATAAGGCTTCAGGGTACCTAAGACCCCACCATTTCGGTACTTGGACCCTTAGGGTTCTATGGGTAAGGGTACACGTTTCATTAACCCGCAACACCCCGCAACCCTTGCGATAGTACGACGACACAGGTACGAGACCAAGCCAGTGGCCAAATTAGAGACGCCGGGGTCCCTTTTCATGGGACCGCCCCACTCCCGCAATCTAGCCACATGATACATGAAGGTCCAGCAGACAGTGCACTTCAAATGGAGGGGCATTCCTTCAATAGTTTGCGCCCAAAACCTTTCAATCCTACACGGAAGGCAGCGAAATCCTCGCTCCTGGAATTTCCCAAGCAGAGTAGACGTTCAGTCACAAAGTCAGCTATTCAGAGTTTTTTGATCTTGTAACAACAGAATGGTGCATGACCGCGCAACGCTAATTACATACTTACTTCCTTGCTTCCTTACTTCTTTACTTCCTTACTTACTTCCTTACTTCCTTATTCCCTTTCTTCCTTACTTCCTTACTCCCTTACTCCCTTACTTCCTTACTTCCTTACTTCCTTACTTCCTTCCTTACTTCCTTGCTCGCTTACTTCCTTCCTTCCTTGCTTACTGACTTGCTTGCCCTCTTGCTTGCATGTATACCTGCCTATGCACATGCGTGCATGCATGCATGCATACATACATACATACGTACATACATGCATACATGCGTTACGTACGTAGGTATGTACGTACGAACATACGGCCGGGCGGGCGAGCGCTTGCGAGTGTGCGGGCGCGCGAGCACTCAAGTATGCATACATAAATTTAGTTTTCTCATGACCAGAAATATTTACCATGGAGATTCCGGATCCTGCGTAGGTTTTGCCCAAGAACTGTTGCCCAACTTGCGTAGCCCTGGAAGTTTCAGACACATTGAACCCAAGCAACACATGTCTGGCAGCATGGACACCCAAGAATTCGGATTGAATAAGACAATACCCATGCTGCCCAACGTTCGGTTTGCAAAGAGAACCTTGCAATTTTGTGTTTTCATATGTTGCTAAGGAATTCAGGTGTTGTCATTGATGGTGCTGTGATGTGATGTGAGGTGATGTGATGTGATGTAGTCAGTGTCCCTTCCGGCTGTCACCTGCTGCTGTAAACAGAAGGAAATGAGCCTGGGCATCACAGCGACAGTTGCATGTGGAGCCGTGACATCTTTTGAGTTTATGGTTTGAGAAAAAAGTTTGTCATCCCCCGAGAAAGTTCAGGAAGGTGGCTGGGGAGCATGCGCGATGGAGATTTAAGGTTCAGCGGTTCTTCTCAATGGGTTCAACGGGGGTGTGGACAAGGGGTATGTACGTTTCAGGGTCTTTTTGAAGGGGCTGACAGGGAGTATGGCCAATGAACATTTCAGGTTTGATTAGCGGTTCCTTCTAAGGGGTGCATAAGAGGTATAGACAGGCGAGGTTCAAGGTTGAGGGATATCTTGAGAGAGGGGTGCATAGCAATAGGGGTACAGGGAAGGGTTAAGGATCGCTTAAAGCCAGGGAAGCTAGCAGTTAAGGGTATCTGGAGGCAGGTAGGTTTCCTCCAAGAAGGAGGGGTGGGTCAAGAGGGGGTGGGCGGAGGGGGCACGAGCACCCCTGCAGGAACCAGGGCCGAGACACATATTTCTACACCTGCCAACGCTATATGATGATCCCTGACTCCCAGTCGTCTGATGCAAATTCTGGAAAGCCTTTGCGCGTTAAATTCAAGTGTAGCCGTATGCGGCGAGGCCTTAGAAGCCAACATTGGGGTGAGGAGAAATAGCCCAGTACACATAGTCAAATAGGTTTCAAAGCAAGTCTGAACTTCAACACGTTGCTGCCGTCCAATTATCACCAGTTCCCAAGAGAAGTGTTGTGACCATACGCTGCAACGGTGTAGGTAACACCGCTAAGCACGCAGTTCTGAAAGATTGAAAGCAGTTCACATTCATTTCATCTACTGGGGTTTTGTGGACATGGTTTTAGGTGTTACCATGTTTCTTGCAAATTGCCTGCTGAATTAGGATCTTCCATGCAACTTAGCAAATTGTGAAAAATCTGCAAGGCCGGTTAGAATCTTCTAGCGCCCCTCCGCCCTTCTGATGCTGCAATCAAACATGATACACAGGACTGCTTAATTGCATGAGTCCCGTCGTGGTGGCTGAATACCGTGTTTCGCAGTTTCCAAGTGCGAGGCTACATGTTTCAAGGTGGCGGGTTGCGCTGGGGGTTTAATTTTGCATTCCGAGCAACGCATTTTCATTCAGCAGGGTCTTGCATGGAATGAGGGTGAAGAAGCACACGGTGGATATGCTGCTGCGTGTCCCTATCTTTCTTCATCGTACCTCAAACTCATCGTGGAGGTAACGCGTATTCACACAGATCCGCATGCCTGGTAGTTTGCGGGCGCTCCGCTCATGTGGCGGTTTACCCCGTGGCAAGACTTAGGGGAAAATGCATCACGACCTTGTAACATGACATGCGTCAGGTTTTTACGCATAGCTAGAAGACACTTGTTTGTGCGCCGCAGCGCGTGTTCACACCAAGAGTTTATGCGCCCAAGATTTACACACGTAGGCCCTCCACCTACACTTGCATACCTTGAGATAGAGACCACAAACCCCTGTTTAAGGGTACATCGTAAACCTTAAGCCCTGAAACCCCAAACCCTAAGCCCCTATTTGACGGCACAAGGAAAGTCCTGATGAACAAACCGTGGCTTCCATGGCGCATCCTAAACCCTTAGGGTCCAAGTACCTAATAACTATATATTTCCCCAAAACCTGTACTAAAATTACTATTACCCAAATCCCAAGTACCTAATTATTGGGTACCCTAAACCCTATATACCCCTATATATCCCTTTATATCCCCTTAAAGGGACCTAATTATTGGGCACTTGAACCCTTAGGGCTAAACCCTAAACCATGAGGCTTCACTTCCAAGCTTCCCCGTAAGCACATCTTTCCCAAATTTAGGGGCTTAGGGTTTAGGGTTTAGGGTGGATCCTAGGTACCTATATGGTATATAGATGTATACAGTATAGGATCTAGGGTTTAGGGTTTAGGGTCTATATGGTGTACAGGACGGTTTATACTAGGGACTGGTCATATGGTTTACGTTAATTTCACCTCTATACATACTTAGGATCCTTCTGGTTTTGGTATATTGAGGATCTCAGTTTTCAATGTTCTCAGCAAAAGAGTTCTTACGTTGTAGCCCAACCCCATTTGTTCGGCTCTTTGCCTAGGGTTGCGAGTTTACAAGTTATGCCCACATAGGGTCACAAAGGCTATACATCTTACCTAGCTGGTGTTATTTGGAGCTCTGGTGTTTAGCTCTTGTCATGTTCAGAGTGCTTTTGCCAGGCGTTGCCGCCGGGGAGGTTGTGAGGACTGCTGGCAGCAACTTGTTGTTTTCTGTCAGGATTGCGTCCTAGACCACCCAAACATCAAACAACAAATCCCTGCTTAGGAGTTTATGGAAAGTATGTAAGGGTTATCATTGGGTGATCACGGGATTCCGTATCCGTAACGGATGTGATCTTAGATTTTCTCAAGGGTCTGGGTTGGGACTGTTCCAGGAGGATTGCAGTTCGCAAGGGAGTAGATGCGGCGCATTGGTATGACCGAAGATTCTTATGGGGAGGGGCAGTCACCAGGGCTGAAAACGTTTTTTTTTGTGGGACCTTTCCGCCTGAAGTAATTTCGATACAGATTTGTTCAGGTGTTTGCACGGTGCACTGGGGCTCCAGAAGGTTGTTTTGTAGGCTATTATTAACCACCCAAAAACTCCAGCCTTAACCCCCTGACCTCAGCGCTAAACCTTATAAACCCTAGCCCCTAACCCACAGTCCTAAGCTCTAAACCCTAAACCTTCCACCCTAAACCCCAAACCCTACACCCTAAACCCCATACCCTAAACCCTAAACCCCACACCCCAAACCCCTCTAAGCCTCACAGCCTAGTGTAGTGGTGGTGCCCCTGCACGCCCCGCGGCAATTGGGCCAGAAGTCGTAGCGTGCTCTGGGATGGTTCTGCTGGAGAAAAAGGGGTCTGCAAGACGCTGTTTGGCGTCAAGCTGAAATGCAGCACCGTTGGACATTTCATCGCCAGCACCATGCCATGCAACAAGCCACCCAAAGCATTATGCGCTTCTCACAGCGAGAATTTCCTGGAATGACGTCATGGATTCACGGAACCAGTAGCCACACCTCTTATCTTGCAGTTGGCATTTCGCCGGTGTAAGACAGCGGAAGGAAAGTGAAATTTTGAAAGCCTAAATCCTATCAATATTGATGTTTATGGCTTGGGTTTTAGGGTTGAGTACTATTCCTATTAATATTGCTATTGTTGCGATTATTCTTAATATTATTGCTAGTAGTTTTGTTCCATTCCTGAGGCCGAGAGTCTTAGTCCCTAATCTTAGGCCCTAAAGCCTTAAAACCTTAAACCCCTAAACCCTAAGCCCCTAAAACCCCTAAACCCTTAGCCCCTGAAACCCCTAAAACCCTGAATGGTAGTTTCCCAACATAAGGGGACCCCAATGTAGACCCCAAAATACTATAGTCCTTATTATAGGGACCCCCAAATGGTACCCCCAATTTTGGGAAACCCCCCCCTAAACCCTAAACCCTAAACCCTTAGCCCCTGAAACCTTTAAGACCCTAAATCATTTCAAGCGGCTCAGGATTTTCAACCAGGCCTTGGGTTCGGGTGCTACCTCGGAGGAGTTCTGGGATCGAGAGCTCGTGGGCCGCCAGCAAACGGAAGGTTTAGGGTTTTAGGGTTTAGGGTTTGGGGATTTAGGGTATAGGATTTAGGGGATTTGGGGTTTTTACAGTTAAGGGTTTTAAGGTTTTTGGGTTGAGGGTTTTAGGATTTTACGGTTTTAGTGTTTAAGAGTCCAGGGTTAAGGTTTTTTGGGTTTAGGGTTTGGGGTTTGCGGGCTTCAGGGTTTAAGGCTTTAGGGTTGAGGGTGCAGAGTTTGAGGAGTTGTGGGGCTTTTGGGGGTGTATGAACAATTAGAAGCTACTACATGGGTCAGTCACATTCAGTCTACAGGGTGTAGGCTTAGGGGGACTTTGGAGTGAATGGAGAAGGACATGAAACGATTACATTCAGGCATTTTGGCTTTTGGGATCATTAGGGTTTAGGGTTTGTTACTCAAATTTTCGGAGGGAATGAGGGAACGGACACCGATAGCGCCCTGAGGTGGATTGTGTGTTGAGAAGGTGGGTAACACTGTGACCCTAAACCCTCACTAATTTAGCCTGCGCTCTGGGATTCACATTATTTCTGGATTCCTGATTGGTGTAAGTTTTTCCTCCTTGCACCAAGTTGACAGGTCTATTGCTGATGGAAAGGAATCTTCCAGCGGGATGCAAGGGGTTGTAGGTTATTGCGTGTTGGTTTGTAGGGAGATTGCTTGGGTGAAGCTGTCAAGCTGTCAGCGACTAGGTCCTGGGGTTTAGTGAAACTCAAGTGAGCAATAATCTAAGCTCCTTAAACGGGGTCATATGGGGGCCTGCTATACGGAAGAAGGGGGATGCTGGGGGTGTAGACTATGGATCAAGTGTGTGTCTCCTTTCTTGGCCTGAAAGCTTGAATTTCTCCAGTTTTCTGGAGAGTTTTGGTGTTAGAGTTTAGGGTTTAAGGCTTAAGGTCTAGGGTTTAGGATTAAGCACGCAGTGCTAAATTATGCGTGCCACAGGACGGAGCATCTGGTACTGGAAGCATTCGCGCGACAGCGGTGCATTGAAAGGGGGAGTAAGTATCATTTTGCCGCACATGACCAGCTGCTTGCGAGGAAGTGCGGCTTGAATAGTTTCAGACAGTAATTAGGGAAGCAAGTCCTCCTGCTGAGAAGCTCCAAGGTATGCAGACTTTGCATAGATTTTTCTGGGTGTGGTTGCACCGCATCGGAAAATGTCAGAGTTTCGAGGGCTGTTCGCGTCATTTCAAGCGCTAGAATTTCATATCTATCCCCATAACGTATAGAATCACCATTACCAAAATCAAAGTTCTCAGTTGTTGGGTACCTGGTCAAGAAATCCTACACCATAGATTTCCCTTATGTATACCTATACCCCTACATATCCCTGCATCCCTGTAATCCCTAAGCCTCACATATAACTATGAAACCATGTGTATACCTGTGGCCTATTCAGAGGAGCTCCCTAGAACCTAAACCTTGAACCCTAAACCCTAAACCCCCTAAACCCTAAAACCCTAAACATGCAAGCCCTAAACCCCCGCACCCTAAACCCCTAAAGCCTAAACCCTCAACCCCCATTGGGTACTTGCGCCCTTGGGGTTAAACTTCTCAAAGCTACTATGGCCGCCCCCTTCACGCACATGGACACGGGCAAGTCAGGGCTGATTTAGGCCGGGGATTACTGAGGATTATTCGGGCATATTGGTTCAGGGGCCTTCTTACAGGGCCACTTAAGGGGAGGGGCAGACAAAGGTTGGGCTTTTCAATGGGAACCTGATGGGGAAAAGGGGTGGGGTGGAAGTACGTATTGGGTATATTGGGATTCTATGAGGTACTCCACCCCCTGTAATTGTTCCAGACTTTTTTTTTTGTTGGGGGGGTGGTTGTGGCAAATATTGGGTTGGCCCATGGTATGCTAGTTTCCTTAAATAAGGGGACCCCAATATAGATTCTAACATACTATTATCCTTTTCATCGGGACCCCTAAAATGGTACCCCTAATTTTGGGAAATCCCCGTATGTATAGTTCTATGAGAAGTTCCAGCTGCCCCAGGTACCAGAGACGACGCGCCGCTTTGGTTTCGAGGCGTCCCTGCTTTCTCGCCACAGGGTGGCATGGCTAAATTGCAGTGTGTTTCTAAACGGCTTCGGGTTTGTAGGAGCTATTAAAGAGTCCATGCAGATACATTATATTCTATGTATATATATATATGCACATACCAGGGCCCTATTTATATTGCCAACTGCGTGGAGCCTTTTATAAGTATATACTACATAGCTAAATGGACCCTTTGGGTCAAGTTGTGGTTGCAAGCCGAATGCTGCACGCATCTTCGGTGCAGTGCTTGCATTTGGATGATTTATTTTCGTCTGTAGCCGTTAAAGGGTTTAGGCTTTCGACTTCGACAAGATCACAAGCAAATTCAAGCCCCGTTGCTGTGCAAGTTGTGTGTGTCGCTGTATTTTTTCAGGGGCATCTCTGGTGTCCTGGAAGCACTTTTGCGCTCAATATGTTTTTGACAAGCTATGGTCCCCTGAAGTAGATAGAATCTGGCTGTGGGTATAATTATAACAAGATCTGCGTACTTAAGGGGGCTATAATCCCAAACCCTAGAGCCTAAACCCTAAATAGTAGTTTCCATTTTCTTTTTCATTATCCAATATATGACTATAACTATATACCCCAGGGAGGATTAGACTGCAATTTGACGATGGCATGACCTCGAGAAGCCCAAGATGACTCCTCCAAAGGAACAAGAGTACCTATCCCTAGGGCTCCAGTTACCTAAATACTGGGAACTGGGTTCTATATACCCTATAGTTGCATAACCCAGTAGCCTAGTCTTCAGGTAACTAGGAGCCCTGGGGTATACCAGGGACATAAATCCAAACCATATTCCTAATTCCTTGTATAGAAACCCTAGTTTATACCATATAATAAAGGATACACCCTAGTTTATACCCTATACCCTAAACCCTCAATCTTATAGGGATATTAAATCCAAACCGTATTCCTAATTCCTAGTATAGAAACCCTAGTTCATACCATATAAGTACTTCGGATCCTTTGGATCTCATGGCGCTTGTTCGCTCAAGCTTTGCAGAGCTTCAAGTAGAGTAGCCCAGACCTTAGAAATAAGTTACAGGTAGCCAAATATTAGGTAAACAACCCGTACACTGGTCACTCTAGGCAAGCTTTACAGATCTCTGGCTAGGGTGGGAGGTTTGCCCCCTTTTGTGAAACGGGGCTCTAGCCGCCTGATGAGGGTCCATGTTGCGTCTGGTCTTCAGTGGACACACTCCGTCATACTTCCTAAGGGATATGGTATATGAAGTGGTGCAAGGTTTCGTGTGAGTTCTCCTAGCCCCCCTCCCCACTGAACTGCAAACAAGCCCAATTAAGGGAGAACCTTGGAGAGGGTGGATAGACAGGGGTGGTTAGATAGCCCAGCAGTTTGCGAACCTAAACCCTCAAGCGCGTTAGTATGCAGACGAGGGCCGGCGACAGAATCTCCTCCAACCCTATGCCCTAAATCCTTAACTTATTGGTTCATAGTAGGCAATCAAGGAAAATAGTATATAGGGATTATATGAGAATGATTTTCCCCTATTCCCCACTGAGAACCAGCACGTGAACTTCGAACCCTAAACCTTAAACACAAAGCCTACAACCTTAAACCCTAACCCTACAGATGCGAGGTTTCTGGATGACATCCAGCTCTAAACTCTTTAAAGGGGGTTAGATAGGGGATTACAAGGATTATAGGGATGATGTGGGGTTTAGGGTTTAGGGCTTGGGTTTAGGGTCTAACCTCCTTAAATTGGGTTATATAGGGGACTATATAGTGGACTATTCTAGGGCTTATTCAGGGGGATACTCGGAGTCTAAGCTCTCGCTCATATAGAGGGTACATGGCAACGTACCCTCCTACCATAAACCCTTGCCTGCAGGGTCCAGCGAGCTAAGTCAGTACGTAATTTGGGCCCAAAGTGCATATAAATATATCCCTAGGGATCCAAACAGCCCAATGTAGGTAATATTTACAGACTTTGGGGCCCAATGTAGGGATTATTTACATACATGGATCCCTAGGGTATGTATTTATGTACATATGAGAATCCACCTCGTGCCATATGTTGTATCCATTTGGGGTACTTGGACAGTTATGGGCCGGTGTTCCAAGTAAGGCAAGCAAGGGCAGACTTCCTCCGCAGGGTAGGGCAGCGAAGTAAAAAACAAAAAATGGGTTCAGGGTTTAGGGTTCAGGGTTCATAGATTTTCCCGGAGGTCCGAGTCTATCAGTAATACCTACCCCGCGCCCTGGAGTATATCAATATCATCCACTTGGTGCTAGTGGGATGTGCTTCATTTAGGTGCTGAATTCGCCTGCGAAGATGTCCAGTGATCCTGCAGGGGCTTTAGTTATCTTTTGGTCCAACATGTGGAGACTCGCCTAGACTAGGTTAGCATCATTAACCGCAACCCCCAAACCATCCATGTACCTGCAACCATACCAAGCTTGGCCGAGTGCTCGTGCGATTGCCATTCCCTCCACGGGTTCTCGGCCGTATATATCGGGTTTAGGGTTTAGGGTTTAGGGTTTAGGGGTGAGGGTTTAGGGTCTATATAAGCCATAGTCTAAACTCCATGCAGGGGGTTATATAGGCGATTATATATGGGAGTATTATAGGGGTTATTAAGGGGGATACTAGGAGTTTAGACTGTAGCTCATATATCTTACGTAATACCCATGTTGCCGATGATTTACTTATCCCCATGCGCAGGCGTTCAGTCCTCAACCAAGAGGCTGGCCCTCCAAACCCTAAACCCTAACTCCTCAACCAAAAGACTTACCCTCCCCCTAATCAATATGTAGCCCTATACGGCTCCCCCTTAAAAGGAAGGTAGTTTACAACGGGTCCTTTCTCAGAATGCAGTGTAGTTCGGGGATGGCGGCTTCGAACCCTTACCCGCAAAAGACCTAAAACCCTAAACCGAGTTACCAAATGGGTATATATAGTAGTTAACATGATTTCTCCAATACAGTAAGCTAAATTAAGTACCTTAACAGCAACCCTAGATAGGATTAAGGGTTGTTATGTTCCATGTCTTTGTCCAGTTGATTCTGCGTTATTGGGGTATTTATTATCCCCATGAAGTTTTTGGGCCATAAGCCCTAATATAGAATCCTTAAATCTCCCTATCTCATCCGCATATGCAGATGCCTCAAGAATCCCAAGTGACCCCAAAGACTTAACCCTAAATCTTCGCAAAGGTCCAGGCTATGCGACCAGAATTCAAGATAGCCGACTTCGGATTTGTCATGCAGGCAAGTGCCAGTGAAGGCAAGTTGCCTTCAAACTTTCAGGCCAATGACCAGACCCAAGACCAGATTCAGAGCTTGGTGGCCCTTGCCCGTCCTTTGAAGCAAGAACAGGACATCATGCGGGCACACAAGGCCGTCGCCTTGCGAGATCAAACGTAAAGACTGGCCGCTGAATGTGAGTTTCAACATTCATTGAAGCTAGCTGTCCAGAGGGTTTGGGATGAGACAAGCGTCTACTACCAGTGCCACAGTTGCAAGTTCTCGGCCCTGCAGACCATCAGCCCACGCGCAAGTTGCAGGCCGCTTGCGAGCAGGCGGATGTGCCCGTCCTGTACTTGCTGAACCTGCCGCTGCCGATGCTTGGTAGTAGCTGCTCCACTCACATCGTATTGGCGAAGGGTCTGCAGGGGTTCCCGTCTAACTACCTGGGCTCAAAGTATGGCTACACTATTGCTTCAGGGTCTCCCCGGCGTAGGGTTTAGGGTTTGTCGTTAAGGATCTAGGGCTTAGGGTTTAGAGTGGTGAAGCCTAAACCTCTGCTTTGACGTACCCTGGAGTTGGGTAATATATTATATCCCCTCTATAAGCATTTATCACCTATTGTAACCCTGTATAACTATCCCAACCCATCAGTCATCCTGGACCCATAAACCTTACACAACCCATGTCCAATCATAACCTCCATGAGAAGAATCCGCAAACCTGACCCCCGCCTCCCGCCCCCCCCGCCCCCCCACCAGAAACTCCTAAACCTTAAGCCCTAAACACCCTAAGCCCTAAGCCCCAAGACCCTTAAACTGAAAACCCTCCTAAACTCTCAACCCCCTAAACCCTGAACCCTAAACCCTGAAACCCTAAACCCTGAAACCCTAAACCCTGAGCCCTAAACCCTGAGCCCTAAACCTTCCCAGGTAAAGCCTCATGCACTCCTGCGAGCTATGGAACATCATTGCAGAGCCTGGCTGGCTGAAGTTAGAACAGTTTAGGGTTCAGGGTTTGTAGGGTTTATGGGGTTCTACGGTTTAGGGTTCTACGGTTTAGGGTTTTAGGGTTTCGGGTTTTAGGGTTTAGCGTTTATAGGGTTCAGGATTTATAGGGTTTAGGGTTTTAGGGTTGAGGGTTTAGGGCTTATATAGAGGGCTTATAGGGTTTTAGGGCTTAGGGTTTCCCTAAACCCTAAACCCTAATCCCTATAAAATCCCGAAACAGGTAGATTTCGACGGCCTGCTTGGGGAGTCTAAATGAAGTACATTTCCAGTTATATCTGGTTTCCAGACTCTAAAACCCTAAACCCTAAAACCTTAAAACCTAATACGCTAAACCGATTGACTCACATGAATCCCCTGCAGATATGAGGTGTCATACTACCATACAGTTTCCCTGCACAATGAGGCTAGACTTCCTGCAGAGGAAGCTGAGAGCATAAGATCTCTGTACACCCTCGCGGCAAGATATCCTAAGAAGGGAAATTGACGGGCTGCCTTGAATAGAGGAATCTTCCAGCGGTCGCCCAAAAGCTATACAGTATATACTAGGGCCCTAAGGTAATTCCGTGGGACCCCCTTGACCTCTAAGTGTATACGCTAGACCCTTCCAGTTTCATCATTCTGCATGTGCAAGTAATGAGACTTGAAGTATTTCAGCTGTCCCAAGCCCGAATCGCGTGGCACGCTGCCTTCATCGACTCCTAACTCTAGATCTTAAAGCCTGGGTTTAGGATTTAGGGTTTAGGGGTTTAGGGTTTAGGGCCTACACCTAAACACAGCCCACTGATCTTCACATACGGAACCCCTTGATAATCTGGAATCCTAACTTCTCAGCTCTAAACCCGAAATCGTAAATCCTAACTCTCTGACCCTTGACCCTATCGCAAGATACAGAACGTGCTATCAACTTGATCCTCCATTCACGCAGCATTGTACCGCAAGTGCGGTCAGGCAGGATCCTCAGATAAATGCTCTCTTCCAATATGGGTTTAGGGTTTAGGGGGGAGTTCTTCCTGTGGCTCCCCCTTATATACCCACGAATGCTGTACTTCTTATCATAATTCGGACCCCCCCCAGGCAGAACCACCAAATTACTATATAATCGCAGTTGCCATGTCATATTCCATCTTCTTTTCCGCTTCATTCTCCAATAGGGTCATGCGCCAAAGCCCTAAATAGCAGCTTCCATTTCAATGTCCGTTATGTTCTATGTCGTATGGGTAGTATCCCTAATCATAGGAAACCCAAAGCTCTTAACCCTAAATCCTAAAACCGTAAGTCCGCCGTAAGTCCTATACAAACCATCACCCTAAGGGTCCAAGGACCCAAATAATAAGGCTTTAGGGCCCAAATACCATTAATATTATAGTATTTGGACCCTAAAACCCTATCCCTAAGGCTCAAAATAGCCCAAACGCGGTTTATAGTATGGTCTTTGGGCCCAAAAGCCTCATATTCTGAGTCCTTAGAGCCTAAGGGTATTCTTTGGGTCCTTGGACCCTTAGGGTCATTTTGGCAGGTCAGGTTGCGGTCTTCTTCGCACCGTGCGCCTCTGCATGCCCCCGGGTGCCCGGAGCCCTTTGAGGAGGCGCTTGGGAAGGCTTACCTAAACCCCCAAACCCTAAGGGTCCAAGAACCCAATACTTAAATGGGTATATAGGGTTTAGGGCTTAGGGTCCAAGTACCCCATAATTAGGTCCCCTTTAAAGGGGATATATAGGGATATATAGGGTTTAGGGCTTAGGGTTTAGGGTTTAGGGTCCAAGGACCCAATATTTAGGTACTTGGGATGTGGGTAATAGTAATTATAGTACAGGTTTGGGGGAAGTATATAACTATTAGGTACTTGGACCCTTAGGGAAAGTATGTAAAATAATAGCCCAAACCCGCTAAAAATAGCCAAAAGGCTATAACTCTACATACTTTGGGGGCCCAGTAGGGCATAGGAAGTTAGTTTATACGGATCCAGTTCTCCATTCCCGTAACCCAAGGGGCCTATGTTGCTATGTAGTATATACTTACTTGGGCCCTGAAGCAGTGAATGTGGGAACCTCCGTGGGCCTTAAGTTTATGTGATTTAGCGACCTGGAGCTTTTGGGTAAGTGGGAACCCCACGCTACAGGCTTTGGGTTGTTTGGTGATGTTTGGCGCCTTTGCTACAATTGCTTTAGGGGCTTTACCTTGCGGTTGTACACATGAATGCCAGCATCCTTGTGAAGTAGGAAAATCACCCTAAGGGTCCAATGACCCAAATGATAGGGTTTTAGGGCCCAAGTACAGGTAGCCCTACCAGTAGGTAGATAGAATATGGGGTATATGGGGATTTTATCATAACATACCCAAAGCCATATTCTATCTACTCAAGTGGGACTATAGCCCTAAACCCTGAACCCTAAACCCTAAGCCCTAAACCCTAAACCCTGAACCCTAAACCTGTAGGGGACCCTACGCCCGTTTACATGCTGCAGCCCAAAGGGTCCATGTAGGTATATGGTATATACTTAGGGCCCAAAGGGTTTCCCATATACCTACTTTGAAGCCCAAGTATATACCATATAATCCCTATAGAATGAATCCCTACATAACCCCTACATAACCCCTCTATAGCCCTTATATATTCCCTATGAATCCCTATATTTTATATACCATATAACTACATGGACTCTTTGGGCAGGGAGATCTGGCGTCCTTCGATTCTGCAGCAGCTGCGGGCTTGGCGTTGCGCTGTTTCCCCGCAGGGTCTGCAAGACTTTCCGTTAGGGTTTAGGGTTTAGGGTTCAGGTTTAGGATTTAGGATTTAGGGTTCAGGGTTTAGGGTTCAGGGTTTAGGATTTAGGGTTTACAGTTTAGGGTTCAGGGTTTAGGATTTAGGGTTTAGGGCTTCAGATACTTACTCAAAGGGCTCCAATTGCCGAAATAATTGAACTGGGTTCTATTTACCCTATAGTTACATAGCCCAGTAGCCTAGTCTTTAGGTAACTAGGAGCCCTAGGGTACAGTAACAGCCAGTTCATATACCCAGTATGTTGGGGATCAAGGCTATTCTTGTGGCTACAGACACAAGTACGGACGACATGGGCTTGGTTCCTTAAAGCCATGCAAGTCCAGGGACAGAAATGCGCAATGAAGTGTTGGCATCATGTGTTCTCCACGAACTCTTCGTCCCTTGCGCGCGGTTCGTTCCCCTGCCATGTTTGCTATGGCCATGCATTATTTACGGCTTCTCACTCAAGGATCAAGTGCACAACGCCAAAAGCGAATCAGAACATAGTAGTGACCTTGGGCTAGCACCTGCATTAATCTGGGATGAAACTTTTCATAATGAGCCAGGCACCAGTTTCACGGCCGAGTACTACTCAGGGATTATAAGGCATTTGTTGCAAACCAGTTCGCGCTGTGTATGACTCCAAACCTAGAGGGCCCGAGTACCTAAGTTATAGTCGGGCTTTAGCTCCCAAGTACTGTATTCTGAATGCTTTTCAGCACCTAAAAATCTCATCAAGTGCCCAGGGAAACGTGCTTGCACAACAGGTTTATAAGCAGCAGTAACTTCTTCGCTGGCATCTAGACGAAGACTGAAAAGGCCCTTTGTGTAGAAGTCCTACATTCTTGAATTAAACAAGAACGGGCCTGAAGCCGTATCCTACATTTGGTTTAGGGCTTAGGGTTGCCCGCGTTCCTAGACCCCAAAGCAGGTTCTACATTGCTGAACCCAAAGCCAAGACCTACATGCCGAAACGCAGAACCCAACCCTACGTTCTAAACCTAAACCCTAAGGCAAGGATTCTAAAACCTCAAAACCTTATCCTAAAGTCCCTAAAGCCTAAACCCTAAACCTGGATAGTCGAGAAAAGGTCCCATAAATGAAAAAGCCTAAACTTGCGTCCCAGTGGCAGCCTCATTTTCCACACATCAGAGCGGTAAAGGCCAGCCTGACTCACTGGAAAATTGTTGCCTAAAGGCTCCATGTAGCTATCTAGTATAGGGTTTAGGGATGTTTAGGGTTTAGGTCTAGGGTTTATGGTCCAGTATATAGTATATAGTTAGGGGCCAAAAGGGATCGCATATAATTACTTAGGGCCCAGGTATACTATACTTAATATTAAAGTTACATGAACCCTTTGGGTTTGCTGTTCAGGGTCTGTGGTTTCGGCTTTGGAGCTTACACAGTGTAGGGTTTGGTCGACAGGGTTTACAGGGTTTGCCTGTTCACCCTGCTTTTTTTTGAGGGAACCCATATAAGATTTGATTTTGGTTGTGGGTTCAAGAATCTGGGCTTCACTACGTGTAGTTTTGGAGCTGCTGAGCTGCTGCCCTACGGGTCCAAGTACCCAATAATCATATACTTACCCCAAACCTGCACTAGAATTACTATTACCCAAATCCCAAGTACCCAAATATTGGATACATGGATCCTTGGGGCTGGTGTCATGGTTATCGTGGTGGCGGCGGTGGGGGCAGGTGGGGGGACGGTTTCGCCACGTCGGCAGCAAGGCGGTGGCGGCGGCAGCGGTGAACCCTAAGCCCTGAAACCTATAAACCCTAAGAAGTGGGGGTTATCCCTTTTGAGGTGCCTGCAGAAGGATGTATAGATATATTATATTATATACATTAATACACTAGGACACACTATGTATTAAAGCTTCCATATTCCGCATAGTGCGGCCCGCGGGTATGCAAGGTGGGACCTGTCTGCCGTGAGTATGTATTTGCTTGCTGTTATATATATATATATATATATGTGTGTATGTAAGTATGTATAGGTTCTATAGGGGTACATAGGGACAGATTATCGCAATGATGGACGATGGAAAATTGGATGGGCAAAGACATGGAATCTACATAATACATGTATATATACACATGCATGTGACATGTTGCACCTCATTTCTGTCAACTGTGCCAGGAAGATACTCCTCTGTCGTCGGCACGGTTGTGAACAAAAAGTGTAAGTGCAAACGCCATTGTCTAATTACCCCTGCCTAAGCTTAACTGTATCAAACAGCAACTCAAAGGGTGCTAAGTACCTAAATAGGGGCTTTGGGTTCATACAGGGTTTAGGTTTGGGGATAGTGACCCAAACCATATTACTAATCCCTAGTATAGAGACCTTGCTTTACAGCATATAGGTACTTAGGATCCTTTGGGCAGGTTGGCAACTAGGAGGTAAGTTGCTGTTTCATTTCGTAGGATTATAGCTCAGCTAACCCTTCGCACTTCATGCTTGAGGTTTAGGCAGCTAGACATCATTTAGCATGTGCGCCGCTACAACTGCTGTCACCTCTATAAACGTGGCCGCCGTTGCTGTCACTACAACCGCCGCTGCGGCCACCGCTGCTACAACCACTGCAAGACTAGCTTCCCCACCACTATAGCTACTGTCCTTACCACCACCACACCCCACAACAACCAACACAGCAGATGCCATTCTCGCAGGAACCTCGCATGATTTCCTCAGATGTTAGATGGCAAGGCTTAGTTGGGCACATGACAGTACTTCTTATCCAGAAGAGCTCAGCAGATGCTAGTAGGTGCATCGTTGTTTTTTGGCATCGCTGTTAGATGCATACCTTCAACCAAGAGCCTCCTAATGTATAGCACGATTCATGTTTCGAACCAGCCATGGGCAAAAATTCGAACTCCAGCACCTGTGTCTCTTCATCTACCCCAGCGGCGAGGAGATTGGTACGGAGGTAGAGTTTACCCTGCCTATCTGACCGCGCCTTTCGCGTTGGCTCTATCCAGGAAGATAGGTCGACTGAAGCAGCAGCGGCATGGCCGCCATAGCACGAAGTCTGAGGGCGCCGGGTCTACCTCAGAGCAGAGGCCTCCAAAATCCGAGCCAGGCTTCAGGAGGCGAAGCCTGGGTGCCTATGCAGCTGTAGCTGGCACTGCAAGGCAGGCAAAGGCCTATATCAAAGATTGGCGCCCTTTCCCTCCAGGGTTTCAGTGGGGGGTTGCCACTGCTGCCTTTCAGATTGAAGGGGCGACCAGTGAGGAAGGCCGGGGGCCATCCATTTGGGACACCTTTTCCCATGTCCCTGGAAACATCTCTCAAGATGCTACTGCGGACGTGGCCTGCGACCACTTCCATCGCTACAAGGAGGATGTGCAGCTCATCAAGAAGCTGGGTTGCTGTTAAGGAACTTAAATTAAGTTACCATAATGGGTATATATAGTAAACAATAGGGAAGCTTAATCTAAGTTCCTTAACAGCAACCCAGGAAGCTGGGGGCCAAAGCATACCGATTCTCCATTTCATGGTCCCGGGTCTTGCCCAGTGGCACGCTACAAGGTGGCATCTCCGAAGGGGGACTGGCATTTTACACCTCCCTTTGTGAGGACCTTTTCTTGGTCAGCTCAGAGCATCAAATAGCGCTGGTCATTATTATGTTCGAAGGTGTAAAAGTAGGCTTTTCTCTTTTGCCTCTGAACCCTAAACCCTAAACCCTAACCAGGACCTACTGAAGAATGGAATCGAGCCCATTGCTACCCTCTACCACTGGGACTTGCCTCAGTCTCTGGAAGATAAAGGAGGTTGGCTCAACCGGCAAACTGTTGATGCCTTCAAGGACTATGCGCAGCTGTGTTTCTCACGTCTCGGCCGCTATATTAAGACTTGGTGCAGCATCAATGAGCCTTGGACACAGTGCATTGTGGGCTACTGTTTTGGATCTCACGCGCCTGGGCGCAGCATTGCTCCCGGAGAGGAATGTGTGCTCAAAAACCATGGTTCCCTATTCTGGACGGACTTTGCAATTCATAGAACATCTTTTCAGTTGCAAGCGAAATCCAGAGAAACCATGCCAGAAGCTGTCAAAACACTCACTGAGAGTTGCTAGTCACCAAACACTTAACTCCGGCTGCCACGGGTAATTCAAGGGCTTTCAGGGTTTGCTGCAGCGAACGCAGGGGAAGCCGTTGAGCCAGTAATCCCCATACCTTCCGATACCCCGACTGTTGAGACTAAAAGACTAAAAGATCTTGCATGACCTTACTACACTACAGCACCATGATTCCCAATATACAATGTATTCATGGTCATGCAGGATAACCCGTTCACGCTAAACCTTAAACCAACCCTGAAGCCTACATCTGAAATCCTAAGCCCTGAGCCCTACCCCTGTATTTGGGTACTTGGCCTAAACCCGTTACCCCAAGGGTCGTTTCTATTACTCAAAGCCCAAGTACCTAAGTATTGGGTGCTTGGACCCTAAACGTTAGGTAGTCAGGTACTCCCTGGCCCTGGCTCCTGTAGCACTCCTTGAGACTCCCTGAGGTTCCTAGGCACCCAGCCCCTCCAAGCAATAAGGAAGCCCTACTAGAGCCTCAAACTGGAAAGCCCCCAAAGAAGCCTGGAAGGAAAGAAGGGATCCTCAGGGTAGTCTCGACGTAACCCCGGCTAGTTGAATCTTCTCCAATTTCTCATTTCCTT